ATTCTAACTTTACTGTTCAATTGATTACATCATTAGCATTATAAAATCTTAAAATAGCCTTAGTAAGAAAATTTCAGCTCCATAACCAACATCCTCACGAGTGCAGGAGGATACACACAATTTACGATGAAACCCTTCTGCTTGAGTTAACTTACCCTCCCCATTTCTTCTTTCAATCCCATTAGGGTAGAGATTAGCTAAAGATAGCTAGATTACTACTAACAAAAATCGACAATGGCTCACACGCTCAATCAGTTCTGGAACCTACTATCGGATCCTTCACCCACCTAAATTTCTTTCAGAAGGACATAACAGATGATCAAGAAGCTACTAAAACTACATCTACAGAAAACAAAGAAAGTTCTATAGCAACTTAGAGGCTGATATTCACACCTTAATATCTGCCGGAAAGCTGTCAGCAATATCGCCTAATTCATCGATAATATCTTCCAAATGCCTTCCGACGACTCCGAGACACAAGCTCACCAAACTAGGAGGCTTCAGCTTCATCTTCTCAAGGCGTAGTCCTATCATCATCACCAAAAACGAAATCACAATAAAAGGACTATTTTGCATCAAGAACCACAGAAATGATAAAACCAGTTGGAGAGAGAAACGTACTGGAGGAATTCAGAGACTGCACGAGAGCAGGAGATTCGGGGGTTTGATGATTAGGGTTCAAATCGAGCTTCTTCAGAGAGGCCGCTACGGTCTGGACAGATTTTTCCTTTTCCATCGAAATTTCGAATTTCGCAGCTCCGGCGGAGGAATCAGGACGGAAACATGGGAAGAAGTTGACCGCTGCAAAAGTGGCGGCAAGATTAAGAAGATTTCCTTCTCTTTTCCGGTAGGAGAGGATGAAGAAGACACAAGAACCGGACTTAAAATTTTCAATTTCCTTTGGATTCCAGAAGTCCATAAAAGATCCATGATCAGACTTTATGCTGTCCGAAATTTGTCCTGGGTAAATTTATAAATTGTCCTCTAATGTTTAAAATATTTGTCAGATATGGTCCCCAACCTTGCAATTGTTCCCATTCGTTCTCTAGTCATTTTATATTGTTTTCAATTCTGACTTCATTTATTTTTATTTTAATAAATGAGAATAAACATAAAACTAGTAATTTATACCAAGAATTAAATTTTATAACCACCAAAAAATTTTATCACTTCTGAAAAAAACAACGAATTAAATTTCACTTTCCTTGTAAGTAAACTAGTTGTGCCCTTTTTTCCTTTTTGTCACAATTAATGCCTTTAATTAAATAAAGGAATTATCTATGCATATTATGAAGGTTAAAAAATGAGGTAATATCCAACTAGATAACTTGAAAGATGTTATTACTAATGGCACCTCGTTACTGCAACAGAAACATTAATATTCTATCATTCTATGTGTACATGCTTAAAAGATTGAGGAGCACTCATGTAATTTAATCCTTGACACAAATCTTTTTGCGCCCTCAAGAGAGCAGGGTAGTTTGGTAAATTAGAAGTCCTCCGTTTTAGCCTCGCTTCATCTTCCAAATCCAATCCTAGGCGGTCATTTTCGTTCGGTTTTCTAGTTCTACCGGCACTGGCGGTACCGACGAGAAGACTCTGTTCGCCGGCGGAGATTACGGCAGCAATCAGTTAATCATATGGTGAAAGGAGGGCAAAACCTTCCGGCAGATGTGAGCCAAGTGATCGATCAGCTAGAGCGCCACTGCTTGGCGCCAGACGGGTCGCTGGTCTCCAAATCTGCCTACTACGATCTCCAGCTCGTAATCTTTCTTCATCTCGCATTTCCTTTTGGTTTCCAAGAAAATGTAGGTGGTTAGTTGCTTCAAATTTTGCTGAATAATATGGATTTTCAATTGGCAGGCGAGAGAGGAAATGTCGAGAGAGAGACTGCGGTACTTGGAAGCAATGGTAAGGTTCTCTTTAAATTTTCTTTTTATGAAACTAATTTTTGCTATTAATTGGTAGTGTAAAATTGCAGGCAATTTATTGTGAAGCAATTGCAATGGTGGAAGAGTATCAGCAGGCTGTCTCCGTGGCTAATCTCGGAGGGATTCGGGATGTGCAGGGCCTATACCCACAACTTGGCTTAAAGAACCCTCCTCAGGTTCTGATTTTTGTTTTAATCTAGTTTGAACTTGACCAATGACCTTTATGAATTATGGGTTACTCTTGCATTGTTTCATAGTTTTAGTACTGAGCTCAGCATTATTTGTTCATATAATACCATAGAATCAATTGATTTCAGTTTAGGATTTGATGCAAGCCATGCTATGCCTTTTATGAATCTTAGGTTTATGAGACTCTGGAGCACCGACTTGTTGTTGCTGAAGCAGCTCAAAGATTAAGACTTCCGCTGATATCTAAAGATGGGGAAATTCATGAGGAAGAGATTGAAAAATGGAGTATATTGTCACAAAGTTCACTTGATAGTACCAGTACCAGTCTTACAATCAGCTCAAGTTCAATCTCGCTAAACTATGCTAATAGTTCAGCAAACAGTGCTGCAGCTGCAACAAGTAGTGCTAGTGATGCGGTCGAACTGGGAGTTGGTGGTGTGCCTAATCGCTTTCTTGGAATAACACCTGCTTATTTATGGCAAACTCAGCTTCAACAGACTCCATTGACAGTAGTATGATAACTCTATCATGATGGCACATAAGAGTCTTGTAAAAACTTCTGTCAACTCACTGGAGCTTCTAATAATGTAATGTGGTCACATATCTGAATTTACTATTGTAGGATATGACAGACTACCAATTGTGTCTTGCACGAGAGATCGAGGCACAATTAAATGCTAAGTGTGACAAGCTAGCAGATGCCTTTGTTGATGACATTGGTAATTCTCAACAATCTTCTGTCTTCTTATCTCTCTTCTTTTTTCTTGTTTATGCAAGTTCTCATCCTACTTGTATTTCAATGTTAATAGTAATATTTAAGGACAACCATCTTATCCTTGCTAATATCCTGTCTCTATGGTTCAGTTTTGACTTGTCTGTCCTCAGATCCTCTTGTTTACAGTTTACCAAAAGAGTGAGGAAGATCAACTGATCAACAGTCGCGAAGCACAAATTAGAATGCTTCTCTTTTCTGTTCAAAAAAGTAACTGTATAGGAGGATGGTCATGTAGAGAATATTAAACATGATGTCTGATAAGTAAACGAATATGCTGCTTAAGCCCTTCATGGGTTTTAAAAGTTAACACTATAACTTCTGCTCTGCTGTAGATTTATCTTCTGGAAATCAAAGTTCAAGCGCCCAGCTTCCAGAAAGGTTAGTGTTACTTTCTGTTATTTCCTCAATGTGGTTGACAAAACTTTTTGCTAGATATTGTTCATGTTCTACTAATGTTTGATTTGATCAGGGTGAAGTTGATGATTGAAGAGATAGAAAGGGAAGAAGCCGCTTTAAGGGAGGACCTATATTCTGCAGATAGAAAATTTGCGGAATATTACAATGTAAGTGAATAGGCAGTGCATCTGAATATTACTATTGAATCATGTTGTTTTACTGGCCTCGTCTCCTTGTTGGAACTTAAGAAAGGGTTTTATCTCATCTTAAATTTAACTTGTATGATGTCATTCTTTGGAGTGAGCCTTCTGTTTATTTGTCATGATGTAAAATAATTTTGTATCGACTAGGTCCTTGAGCAAATACTGGGAGTGCTCATTAAGCTTGTCAAAGATTTGAAGTTGCAACATCAACATAAATATGTAAGTGTTGTATTTGGCGTCTTCCTCTAGGGCTATAAAGGAATGCGTGTTGAGGGTTTCTTCATTCCTTTGTTCTTCTCTTCCTCCAAATGATCTCTAGTTCATCATCTAAATATTTTGTAGGATGAATTACAAAAGACATGGTTGTGCAAACGTTGTGAAACTATGAGTGCAAAACTGAGGTTTGGACATTATCTCTGTTATTTGTCCTGCTTAGCTTATAATTCGTTTAGCTGATTTCAAAGGATGGACAAGGGATAATGTTCTGTCTTTGGTCATGCCTGACTCCTTTAGTCTAATCTGAGTAGGTTAGTTAGGAGTTGGATATTTCCTTTAGCAACATCAACAGTCTCATTATAATGGGGAACATTCTTCTTTACTACAAGTGTATTGAGTATGCTGATGGGAGTCTAATAACATGAATTGCTATTCTTGGTATGATGCTTTCGTTTCATATTTATCAACATAAAAACTTTTGACATTACTTTTAGTTAGTTTCTGTGATTTGTCTAGATATGTTGATAATTAGAAAACAACACACTAAATAAAACTAATATATGTCATTATTTTGTAATTTAGTACAGTTTACTCTCTGATCTTTTGTTTATATCCTGTATTATGTGTGTTTATGTGCATTTATGTTCACAGGGTTTTGGAGCATGTTCTCTTGCTTGAAACTTATACTCGTGAGTCAATACCAGCATTACATAAACTAAGGTGCTTATGGTGCTTATGGACGAACGATCTTGTAGATATCTTTATAGTTTGTAACTTTGTGTTCCATTACATGGGTATACTCAGTCTTGCTCCTCTTGAACAGAAATTACCTTGTTGAAGCTACGGAAGAAGCTTCAGCTGCTTATAATAAAGCGGTTCGTTTCACCAATATTCATTCGCTTTTTGAATAAATTGCTAAATAATAAAGCATATGGATTTTATATGTACATGGACATTTAGCATTACATTACAGCTTTAGCGATCCATGGTTGGCATCTATTATACTCATCTTCCTTGGATCTTTTGCCCCCAACAAATTCATGTCCAAACAATATTCCAGGTCACACGTCTCCGTGAATACCAAGGTGTAGATCCTCATTTTGACACAATTGCAAGACAGTACCATGATATTGTGAAGGTAATCTGAGTTTATAATATTGTTCTTTTCTAAATTTCCTCAAGCAAAATTAACATCACCCTTTCTTGGCAGAAACTGGAAAACATGCAATGGACTATCCACCAAGTCGAGATGGACCTCAAACGCTTACCAGATCATCCGAGCTCTTGAGATTCTGATTCCATTTGGTTTTACCTGTTGAAAATTATGTACTTCTATTGTAATAGAGCTCAAATCAAACTACTCGATGCGCCAGCCTGTTGACTGTTGCGTGTTCTATTGAATAATGAATACCAATAGATATGCCCTGCGTTCTTCGTCCTTTCGAGCGAATATTCTCCTACTTTTACCTATGAAACTCCTCGTAGCAACAAAACATCAATTTGCGAACAGGGAAGTTATAGAAACACTTTCTTTTAGGATCTCTTTTTCTAGATTAAATTGTATTGGATTATAAAATTATTATACATAATTTTATTAATTTTTTTATTTAATAAATAATTAATAACCTAGTGATTATTATTTTATTGTAAAGGATTTCTTATATTATACTAAGAGGGATGATGAGGTTTGAAACCACTTCTAACATTCAAAAACAAAAAAAATGATTAATATAATTTAACTTAAATAAAATATTTTTAGAGTAAATACCCGAATAATTTTTTTTAATAGAAATTAGTTTTACGAAACTCTTTCTCTCTCAATTTTGGCCCGATGCCAAAAATTATTAGAAAAACAATTTATTCCCAGTGGATAGACTTGGTTTCAGACGTAGTTTCTCTGCTTTTTCCAGATTCTTCAGTGTGGTTGTGTTGTGGCTGTGCGTCCCTTCTACGCGGAGTTCCACTTCTCATTATTTCCAGCTCAGCAAACAATCCATCGATCATACCCTTACCCTCCACGCACTGAAATCTGGACCACCCACGTGTCGCCTACCAATCCTAATCGGATTCCAGTTCAAATTCCAGTTCGAATTCCATTAACCGCCACCCCATGCGCCTATATATTCCACCCTCCCCTTAGCTTCTCTCATCGTACAGCCTTGGGAGACAAGCACAAAGCTTGAAGCTTTCTTGACGGGTAAGGTTTCTACTCCAAACCCATCTTCTTTTTTCCCTTTAATTTTCAATCATCTTCTTTTCTGGTGTTCATGAGGTTCCATGATCATGGATATGTGTGTTGTTTCCTTTTCCTTTTTTTAGTTTTTTTTTTTATTAGATTCTTAATGATCTTTCTTCATGTTTACATGAGATTTGATGTTATAGGGATCCCCTGTCTTGAATATAATCATTCTGTCCTGTTTCATGATCTATAAATTTTATTTAATTTAACAAGGTCGATTCAATTTTCATCCTGTTTCTTGTTTTTAAGAATTTACGGAAATAAAGAATACTGATTTGACCAAATTTTGAGTCCAATTTTCGTGATATTTATGGGATTTTGGTGTTTTTCATGTGCAGTACTTGAGCTCAAGAAACAAAGAAAAAGCATCCTTAGATCGTCGGAGTTAAGTTCCATCCAAGCAAAGTACATGGTTGATATAGAGTTCCCGGTTCCAGCCGCTCTTGATCCATTTGCTGAAGAGGAAAATTTAGGTGCCCGTGGAGCGAAAGAGTATGTTCATATCCGCATACAGCAGAGGAATGGAAAGAAGAGCGTGACAACTGTTGAGGGACTGAAGAAAGACGTTGGCTTCGAGAAGCTCCTCAAGGACCTCAAGAAGGAGTTCTGTTGCAATGGCAATGTCGTGAATGACAAGGCACTCGGGAAGATTATCCAGCTTCAGGGTGATCAGAGGAAGAAGGTATCCCAGTTCCTTGTTAACAAAGGTCTCGCGCAGAAGGATCACATCAAGATTCATGGCTACTAGGTTACTGGGTTTGAACAGGTCAGGATTTGCATACTACAACTTTAAGAATAAAAGTTAAAGAGGGTTTGCTATTGTGGGTTTGTTTCTGTCCTATGTTTGGTTGTTCTATTGGAAAACCAATGAAATGCAGTAATATTAAGGTTTTTATTAATAAAATTGAACATCTTTTAGTTCTGAAATCGAATTTCTTCCTGCTTCTCTTGACAATAGATTTGTTTTTTGAACCTCTGATGTCCATGTCAAGACTAATATTTCATTAGTCTTCTCTCGCTCCAGTGAGAGAAAAGATTCAGAAACATTTCAGACAAGACATGCTAAAAGTATAGAAGATTCATTGAGATCTATGTATGCTTTTAAGCATGGGAGTTGAGATGTCTAGGTATGCAAGAAACTTCTGATTCAAAAAAGGAATATCCTCATTCAAAATCCTTGAACATCAAGCACAAGATTCATTAAGATAAGAGGAAAACATAAATAATGACTATATGCACCAAGTTAACATTCCAAATACTCAAAAAGCAAAACTAGTCCAAATTGAAAGTTGCTGGATGTGGACCTACTGGACATCTTGAAGCCATAGTGTCCTACTTTCAGGAAATATTGAGTGGGGGTGAGAGAGTCTGGGGAGCAAACTCTAAAAGAGCTTCCCTGGTTGGTTACCGCTTCTCATCATGGTGCAAAACTCATCATAGTTGATTTTCCCATCCTGTTAAAACAAGGCAGAAGTGAGAACCATTGAATGATGCTGCAAACGAAGATTTCATATTTTAGAAGGTGGAATACAACTTACATTGTCTGTGTCAACTTCAGATATTATTTGCTTGATTGTAGCATCATCACCCATTCCATATTCTTTCATGGCTCCTTCAAGTTCATCCATTGTGATAAATCTGTAAAAGGTATTAAGTTTGACTCAGTACGCTTCAAGTCCTATTCAATGTTTAACTGAGGGTCATATCCATTTCATTTGAAACTCATGAAAGAATACCTACAGTATCCTGAAAATGTTTATTCGACCAAGCTAAGCACAAATTTCATTAAAACCCTATAATTCAAATATTTTAGGTAGTTTACATCACATAAGAAGGACTAATGATTAATAGGATGCATTTGGAATACCTTGAAATTCAGGACCAGATCAAGAAAGCATGATGGTGTAGCTTTCTGGTTCTGGCTCTGAAAAATTACATAAGGGAGAGGAAGAGAGAAAAAAGTTGGTAGAGAAACCTAACCCGCTGTTGTCCTTATCAAAATGTTGAAAAGCTTTGTAAAGATGCTCATCCCTTTCTAGCCTGTGCCTGTGCATTGTGGCTGTGATAAATTCAATGTAGTCAATAGTACCATCCCCATCTACATCAGCCTGGAGCACAAAACAAAGGTCAGTGTCTCATACAAATAAACAAAAGAATGAAAGAATTTAAGAAACTAAGACTTGTAGTATCTATGGCCAAAAAAACAAAAAGGACTTAAGTGGTATCTATCTTACAGCTTCCATGAGCTGTTTAACTTCAGCCTCACTAAGCCTTGATCCAAGTCGAGCTAGTCCAGCCTTGAGTTCATCATAAGTAATAGTGCCATTTTTGTCAGTGTCCATGTTTGAAAACATTTGCTTCAGTCCTTGGATTTCTTCAGTCGACAGACTTTCTGCAATGACCTATAATCCACCGAGTTTATCAAATGGAAAGCAGTAATTGAAAACTTCAAAATAATTTCGATCAATTTGAACCAACATGGCTGATGGATCACAACCCAAGATGCAGTTTTAGATCTACCTTTAATGCGAGTTGCTTTAGTTTGTTCATTGCTCTGAATTGTTTCATTCTAGAAAGGACTGCACTGTCTATTGGCTTGTCTGATGCTTCTCCACCTTTAGTCCATGCATGCTCTGCATAGACCATAGAATTTTAATTTTCTGGTAAAACTTTGAATGGTAAACCACACAACAACATGACTATATTTATATCATAGAGAAAGTACTCTTTCATTCTCATAACTAATGCTGTAACTTCTTTAGACTGGTTGCATTTTAGAGTAATGTGTTTCTTTGCAGAAGAAAGATAGGAACTGCTAAAATTATAGTTTGGGCTTGTCTAAGACAGATGTGAGAAGACTGACTATTGTAGTAGATAAATACCTAGAACTTGAGCAGAAGAAACCCTCTTCTTAGGATCCTGTGTCAACATCTTGCGGATTAGGTCTTTGGCACTGCTTGAAATAGATGGCCATGGATCAGTATGGAAGTCAAGTTCTCCTTGCAGAATTGCATCAAATATCCCTTTCTCTGTTTCTGTGAGGAGCAAGCATTAATATTAATTTACTAGTTAATAACAAGTAGTTGTGTCAAAAAGTAAATAAATAAATAACTTGCTGAAATGAAAAGAGGAGTAGATTTTTTGTCTTTTTACCTGCCCAAAATGGAGGTACACCACTAAGCAAAATATACAACATAACTCCTGCACTCCAGATATCTGCTTCCTTCCCATATTTACGCCGTAATACTTCAGGAGCAACATAGTAAGCACTGCCAACTATATCCCGATATACCCTTCCTGCAAAGAGGATACAATATCAATGACCATAGACACAACTACAAACATGAGCCATAAAGGACTTCCCCTTTCAAGAAAATGTGATATCCATCCATAAAAACTGATTGTTAAAAATGATGGTTGAAAAAATGTAAAATTGCATAAAATACCCTCTAATTTAATTGTGTCTCACAAAACATGAACCTCCATACCGTCAAGAGCTCAATTTCTCAGTCACGTAAAAGAAATCAGTGGTTCATGTTCAGTTTTGGTTAAATGAATATTCAAACATAGGCTCATTGTTTACCCCACTAATGATGAAATGCAGATTGTCTATGAAATTCTGAGCAATATTGCATAAAGAAACAATCCTATAACAATCAGAATTTAGAAGGGAATTGTGTAATCCAATTTCAGCTAAATAAAATATAAATATAAATGCATAAACAAAGAAGAAAAGATACCTCAATGCTATTTCACCCAGGAATCCTAACCACTCCAGTTTCTAAGTATGAAATGAAGGACTTGGACTTTGTCAGCCCAATCAAAGGCCCATTTTGCCTTCCAAATTCGCAAAGATGGTGCTTAAGATAGCATAATATGATAATAAACGGTCAAAATAAATAAATAATACCACAATAACAAATATCTCCCATGAAAAAAAAATATATATGATATATCATATCCAATCCAACTAACATGTGAATTGAAAAGGCTTAGATTAGGTCAAAGGTGAAGGTTTTTGACAACTATTAGTCAAATCATGGAAAAAGACTCCTACCGTTAGATTGATCTGCAAATACACAATCTACCCACTCTCAAATTTGCCAATAAATAATACTTTATTGGCTTAAAATTTTATAATTCATATGTCCATTCTTTAATTCAAATTTCATTACCCAAAAACCGTGTACAACTTGGAAAGATTATGAAGTGTACAACTTGGAAAGATTATGAAGTGAAAAACTTGGAAACAAATCTTAGAATTAGTCAGTAATTTATATTTATATGGAATAAACATCTAAAAGCAAAAGTAACATCAATGATAAGCAAATGCATCTCTTCAACATTCATATTTATGAACAACTAATGTAAGATCAATCAAAATAATAGTGCAATTCCCTAAATAACAGTAGGGAAGAGAAAATTACCCTCATCAATGAACACGGACAACCCAAAATCAGTGGCCTTCAAAGGAGCACTCTCATCCTTACTTGACAACAAGAAATTCTCAGGCTTAAGGTCCCTGTGCATCACTCCCATGAAATGACAGGCATGAACAACATTAATGATTTGTCTAAATATAGAAGCAGCAGCCTTTTCGGTGTAATGCCCCCTGGCTATAATCCTATCAAAGAGCTCCCCACCAGCGCATAGCTCCATCACAAGGTGCACAGATTGCCTATCCTCAAAAGCACCCTTGAACTCCACAATGTTAGGCTGCCCACTTAAATGCTGCATAATCTGTACTTCTCTCTTCATATCCTCCTTATCGTTCTTTGTTACTAACTTTTTCTTGGATATAGTCTTGCAAGCATATTGCTTACCAGTTGAATTCTCAGTACAAAGAAAAGTCACACCAAACTGACCCTTACCCAGTTCTTTACCAAATGTATAATGCAACTTTACATCCTCATATGGCTTACCAAGGATTGTATCACTCTTCTGGACAGACCTTGGACTTGGAGCTATAATTGGAGCACCTGGCTTCCATGGTGCCGGAGCCGCCGGCTTTTCAGGTAGGTGGTGGTGGTGGTGTTGGGGTTGGGGTTGAGGTGGTGGAGCCCTGGATTGGTGGTGGTAAACAACAGGTTCCTGGTATCTCTGTTGCTGCTGCGCACCAGTAGCTGCTGCTCCTGATCTGTACCCATTTTGTTGTGACTTTGAGCCTTTACTTTTGGTCAGGCAACAACCCATTTCTTCTTATTGCCCAGTGATCAAGATTTAAACTTGGAATAAATCAGTGACTTTGGAGAAGATACAAGCTGAGAGGGAAGAAAGAAACAGACAAATGATTGAGAATTGGATCAATAATTCACAATAATTGAGCTAGAAAGAAAAGAAAACATGCAAAATACCAAACAAAAAGAGAAATTTCAGATCAATAACAGAAATTTGAAGTGCTTTGGAGATAAGACGAAGAAGATACGAATTTCATAATGAAACAACAAAACACAGATACCGTTTGAGATAAGGGATATCCAAAAGGGATAGATGATAAAAACAACTCAACCTTGTGGAGGTGCTTTTTGGAGGCTTTAACGGAAAAGGGCTACAGAGTTTCTGGCCTTCAACCAGACCAGATGCAGTCTCTGGGAAGAGTCTTAAATCAACAAAGTAAAACAAATGAGCTTTGGTCAACAGTTGAGTTAATGTTGAATATCTTAGGAGGGGAGGAGTAGATTAATCTTAGCAAGAGACGGCAGAGACCAGCCAATCAAACGAAGTTATTAAAGAATTTTTCGTCCTTTTTTTTATTTATTTAAGGAAAGAGATAATGATGCATAGTTGTCCTTGATAAGTTTCCTCTGCACATGTTCCCTTTTTTCATTGAAGTTGAAACTGGGTCATGCTTTAAAGAAAACTTTTACTTGTACTAATTTCTTTTTTTACTATTTACATATGGTCTTCTAAGTTGTGCTCGTGCGTCACAATTAGTAATTAACTAATTATTATATATTTTTTATATTAATTAGTATTAAAAATAGAAGTTAATTTTTGTTTAATTAATTATTTAATTAAAATAATTTATATAATATTAATAATAATATTAATAATAAAATTAATATTAATTTTTTATTTTTAATATTAATTAATATAAAATTATTATAATAATTTATACTTTTTAATATGTGTGCTTGAAAAAATCCTTTATATATATGTAGTAAATATATTTGACATAAGAAATTTTGATTAAATGTAAAAAGTCAATTATGGCATATTAACATGTAAGATTGTAAAAAAAATTATATTTAAAGTTTATTAATAATTTTATTAATTTAATAATAATTTTTTTAACTTCAATAAAAATAAAAGAATTTAAATTTAAATTATATTATATATAAATAAAATATGATAAATAAAAAATAAAATAATTATCTTATATTATATAATTTAAGATAAAAAATTATATTTAAAGTTGCCTCGATATGATATCGCACCTTTGAACGCATGTAATCTCTTCCACATGCTCAGAGTTAGGTAGCTAAAAAAAAAAAAAAGTTAAATGTCCATTTTGATCCCCTACTTTAGTAAAAGCTTTTTTTCAGTTCTTTTACTTAAAGAAACTTTTTTTAGTTTTTAAAATTTGAAATCTAGTTCTTTTTTAGTTTCTCCATTAAGCTTTGCATAAATAACACATTTAGTGACAGAAATTTCAAAATAAAACAACAACAAAAAGCTTAAAAAAGGGCTAAAAATAGCCCCAAATTGATCCCTTTATTTTAGAAGAAAAAAAACCTCTTTTTGATCTATCTTCTTTGAAATTTCTATTATTTAACATTAAAACTTAACAAAAGTACTATAAAGATATCATATTTCAAATTTTATGGATCAAAAGGAGTTTTTTTAAATAGAAAAGCTAAAAAAAAACTTTTTACCAAAATAAAGAAAACAAATTAGGGTTCTAACAAAAAAAAATATTAATATCTATACTTTTTTTAATTTTTCATTAAAAGAAATCATTTTGGTTTTGGAGAATGATGTTCATCTCAATCTTAAATCGGCACTCAACAGCATTTTATGATCACCTCTCTTTCAACCGATTTTGTTTCCACTTGTTTTTGCAAATTAATTAAAAGGCCCAGTTTTTCTTGACAACAACTTGTAAATCGAATGCAATCTTTTAAAGCCACAAGTATAATAAGAAGATAAGATAATGATATAGAGATAATTTTTTTATATAATTTTTATGTGTTATTAAATAAATATATATTTAATATCATATGTTTTAAATAGATAAAAAATTAATTATTTAATTGATATATAAAGTTATGCAAAAAGTAGTATAAAAAATTAATTTTAAATCAATTTTCTAAAAAAATTTTTATACAATTAATATAGGAAAGAACATTTACTATTCGTAATCCATGGGGTTTTTTTTTTATTTTTATGAATTACGTATCCAAAAACCAATTAAGCCACACAAATCCAGATTTGAGTTGGATAAGACTTAATAGATGGTAAAACTTTCCTTCAAAGCTGTATTTTCAAGACTTGAAACCAAAATCTTTGATTAAGCTGAAAGAGTTCTTTGCCAACTCAATCACTCGCTCGTGGGTATTCTTAATCCATGGTTTAATTCCTTAATATGTGGTCTTAAAAGAGTTAAGAAACGGCGCAGGGACGTCTTCGTTTTATTAATTAATAAAAAAAATTCAGCCTTTTCAATGGATATTACCGTGTGGTTTGGTGTCCTTTGCTAGAGAGCATTCACATGCCACAATTAACGGGGAAAACATCATGTGTCGAAGAGAATTTTGAGGGTCCATGATGAATCACAATTACAATCACAGACGACGATTTCTACGCCATACGATCATCGTCTTAGAACTTCCACAAACGTTGGACCCCAGGGGGAATAAGGACAAGTGACAAGTGGCAAAGTGGGAGGTTGTCAAAGTTGTGAAGGAATTGCAGTCAAGTGAAGACAATGAGTTGGGTTCAAATAATGTAACAGACGCGGTTTTGATATTTGTGAAGCAAATCAAGGCAGAAATTGGGAAGGCCAAAGGAAATGGATTCGGTGGAACGTTTCCAAGAAGGAACAAATAGTGAAGCTTCTCTCATTTCTGTCAAAAGGAAGATAATCCTTACATTGTTAGCATATTTTGGCTTAGTATTGCATTAAGGGAAGAAAAATATAACTTGGAAGGAACATTCTTATCCTAGTGTATCCATCTGAAGTCAATTTGGCTAACTGCTTTGTTAGTTTCTGATCAGGATAACATCGTATGGAAGAATGACACCATGATCCAAGTAGGCCAATTCCACCTGCACAGGAGCAAGTTCGTACATTGAAATAGTTAATAAACACAATGTACATTGGAACATTGCATATTCAAAGTTAGATAAAAAGGGTTCTACAATTTCTAGTGGTGGAACTCATACCATATAATAATGCGTAAAGGTTTAAGATCTAATCTCAAGCGATTCCTACTGTTGATCTCAGAAAATAGTTGCAAAACAGCATGTAAGCTTGAAACATGGGATTTCACCAGATGATGATGTTTTTTTCCTATATACCAGATAATGATGTTGTTTATCACTTGGAGAAATTGTCTTAGGGATTAAAGTGACAAGCCATGTGCTCATATTAAGAGGGCCATGAAATGGGTACAGGTGAGGTCCATGAGATGTTTAGATTTATCATATTGGCGGTTGCCAGGTCCCTGGTCTATAGGATGCACCAGATCCTGTTGGTTCTGTAGACCTGAAAATAAGGTTTCTTAATGTAGAAACATGTTTCAGCAAAGAGATTGCGTCAAAAAAAGGAGAGAGAAGTCATTTCAAAAATTTCTACATTTAAAGGCCAAAAAAAATCTACATTTTTCTATGTTCATATTAGTCTATTTCATGGATGATAAATCTTGAAAAGGGTATTGAGCTTACATTGGCGACAGTTGTTCTTCCTCAGCCTCTTTCTCTTGTGGCCTGCATCAAGAAAAATTTTCACTGTTATGTTTCAACCATAATCACAAATATTCAGTTTCCTTCTGTGTTTTCATGTCGTTTCATGTAGAGTTAGCAAATGAGAACTTTTGGTGTAACTTTCATTAGTGTTAGATGACGCAATATATTTTTACATAACGAAAGTAAGGTTGTGATAACTCACCTTGTGTCAGATGCCTCCTCAAGTTTGTCATCTGTGAGAACAGGTACCATAATGTAACATTATGAACACCAAAGTGGTAATGCCTTGAGAAATTTTGTTGATTACATCTTAGGAAACACAACATTCTATTGTGTAAAAGCCCATGGAAAAAATATGTTATATAAACACAAACACACACTGCTATAGTCAGTTGCATATTAGACTTAAAATCTTAAAAATTACAAACAAGTCATCTGATTTCTGACAAGGAGAATAGAGAGTTAGACCAATGGATCATTATCTTGATTATAGAACTTTAACTCTCTAACAATATGGTACTCCATTTAACTGGTGGCTAGTAGCAGCTAGCAGGTCTCCATGCCTTAAAGCATATGCCATAGCAGGTTGTTATGGTTTGAAGTCCAAACCTGTAACTATAATAAGGTGTTCATCTTCATGTTTACATAAGAATATTAAAGGTTGAACATTCTATTGAAACTTTGCCGATTTCTTTCAACATAATTACCACATAGCCATAAAAGATGTCCATGAAAATTGCAACACAACAATAGAAGGGAAAAAAAAAAAATTACCTTCTGAGGATGCAGATGGAAATTGGCAAATGAAACTTTTCAAGTCTGGACCTGCAACTTTACCTAGAGAAAGAGGGAATCAACAACTGCATGCAGTTAAAAAAGGCAAAAGGGAAGCTATTTAAATTAGCAGCTGACCAGAGCTCAAGACTTTCTGGGTTGAGCCTTCCTCGGCTGTCCTTTCCTCTTCTTCTTTCTTTAGAACTAAGCACAACCAAAACATGTTTTATGATCTTTGTATAGACAATGGAAAATGTAAAGGCAAGAAGTTAAAACACTAAATGAAAAATGGCATGATCATCAATGGAATTAACATGGAGAAACCAGAGAGTCATGGGTTAAAAAATTTGCAATTACCCAAATATGAAAGCCTTGTGACAAGAAATCTTTCCAGCCTAAAAGGTTACCTCTCATTTCTTTTTCAACATCAAGAATTTTATTGACGTTAAAGAGACATCCACATAAGAAGAGTGCAATACATGACAAGACTGTACCATGGTACCCCTGAAATTCATCTGCCACACTTAAGGCATTGTTTTTGAGATTCAAAGGGCAACCTTTTAATAAACATAATTCAAGATTGATTTCAGCTAGGAAAATTTAAATTAGTGAGCAAACATAACACATGTTGTTAGAAAGAGCCAAAGTAACATCATTTATCAGAAAATGCAGAAATAAAAGTAAAACAAGTAACTGTCATACGTGCAACATTAACCCTAACATGTTCACCTCTTGCTTCAAGTTCCAGAATTTCCTGAAAAAAAAAAAAACAACATATTGTCAAGGAAGTTATTGTAGAATCAGGGTACTTAACGAGAAACACTAGTGCTTAAAATTTAAAGATTCCAGGAAGTTTCTGAAAATGATTAATCCATTAAGAAAGCTTCAAAAAGGGCACAGCATAGCTAAGCTACGAACTTGGGATGTCAAACAAATGTAGAATTTTTTTCCTTCTGATTTACCTCAGGAGTAGGAGCTTTCTTCTGCTGACCATGCAACCAACATATCTATTCATCTACAATAATCAAATTTTATACAAACGTCAGAGGAAACAAACCCTGCAATATACTTAGTCATTAGTCATTTTACATGGACTTCTGTTGATTACTCTGTGATGGTTTAAGAGCTTAGCAATTAGCTCCAATAAGGTGGAACTTCAACTTGGGTCTGCAGTAAATTGCATACCTAGGATGGAGAATGGTTCTTCCTCTCACTTGAACACCACCCATCTTTCTCCTTCACTATGTTAAGAAAACTAATGAATTAGAGAACCCTGGATTTGCATAAACATATAGCTGCAAATTGCTCATAACATAGAGGTGTTGACAATGAAACAATTTTAAATTCTAGCATTTGAATACCTTCGGAAAAAAAAAATATTATCATGGTTTTAACAATTTCATTAGGAGTAGAAATAATCATTTATTCATGCTGCATCAAAAAAAAAAAAAAAAATGAAAGCTTTATGTCTTTTTTCACATTTTATCACAAACAAAAGTGATCATAAAGCAACTTGATCGGCAATACAAGAGAAGTCACAGGAGAATTCAGATATCAAATAAGTAATGCAGCTCTCTTTTCTTTTTCTTTTTTTTTTTGGAACAGTACTTGAAAGTAATGCAGCTCTTTTAGAGCCTCTTCCCAAATTTTGAGCACAAAAGTAACACAGAGAAATGCAAAAATTAAAGTAATATATTTTCTGCAAAACCCATTAAGAAACTTAAAAAACTAGGATCGATGATGAATTCCCCTAAGCCAAAGACGAAAATTTTGAAAGAAATCAGAACCACTTACTGATTCCATCGGTCTCCTCTTTCCTAGTAAAGTATCGGTTCCCTGCTTTGTCAATGCCCGCAAGCCTCTTGTTGCTGAAGAACCCAGAAATTCTCGCAAACAGTTTGACATTTCTACATCTATTGTTTTCTCTTCCTGGCAGATTCAATCAACGATTGTCATCAGCTTCATTGAAGATGCATATAGAGTAGCTCGAAATGGTGTAGAGACTTTATTCAGGCAGGGAGGTGTTTACTGGGTAAAGGTCGACAATTTTTGCAAGTAATAGCTTTGTGCTGCGGTGAAGGACTCCCCGCTGCTCTGTACGTCCTGTTTATTTTAACAGAAATTCCCAGCTGAATAGGGAAAAAGATTACATATTAGTCGTTCATCTTTTATTTATTTCAATTAAACACTCAAATTTGTACTCATATAATCTCCTTATTAATTTAGATTATATTTTTTAGTGTAATTCAATTAAATGTCAAACTATCTTAAGATGATCAAAGAAATGCTAATTATTATATTAGTGTGCTGACCAAAAGAAGAAGAAGAAGAAGTTTGATGTAAGGAAATCTCATTTAAACTTTTCTTTAATTTTGTTAGTTTTAACGTTATTTGTTAACTTTTTTATCAAGAAAGAAATGGCACTACATCATCAACAAATTGTTGCAACATCAATGTCATTTTTGTTATTCCCCTACTAAATCTAAAATTATATGAAATATTTATTGTTATTTTACTTTCTATTCCACATGATTGATTTGTTTGTTCATATTTCTCCTTTAAAAGTTAATGATGATAAATATTCGTTTCCTTCTCTTAAGCACATGTGAGGTTTTATTGAATTAATATTAAAAAAAAAAAGAAGCTTCATAATGATGTTGATGGCTTAATTGAATCCATTGAAACAAGAGGGAATAAATTGAACTTTTCTACAAAGTTTATGTACTAATTAGAGCATTTGGTCAATTTGAATTAGTATTTTCTTTAAAAAAATAAAATAAAATCTAAACAGTAATCCAAACTGAGCTCAAAACGGAACCACCGTTTCCATAATCCCTTCGATTTTCTGGGCAACCGATCATCAAAATCTCTCTTAAAGACTTAAACCCTCAAAATCCTAAAATCCCACTTTTCATTTCGCCTAGTGTTTTGCTCTGATCATTCTCAAGTAAGTACCCATTGATTTTGGATTCTCTAATCGCAAATTGAGTCTCTGGAAAACCCTACAAAACCCCTTATCAAGCAGAAATGTATTGTTCAAATCTTACTTCATGGCTCTCTTCAAGGCCGTCAATTTATAGTGCAAATTCGCATCAATTTAGCGATATCCCATTTGTCCGGTTGTCTCTAATGTCTCCTGCAAACAATCGTTCTCAATCTTCATCGCCATTTTCCCGGATTCATTGCCGGCTCCGTCAACTTAGAAATCGAATTGATTCGGTGAAAAACACTCAGAAAATCACAGAAGCAATGAAACTGGTGGCTGCTGCAAAGGTCCGGCGAGCTCAAGAGGCTGTCATCAGTGGTAGACCCTTTGCTATGGCTGTCGTTGATTTTCTTTACTCCTTATATGAACAGCTCCAATTTGAAGATATTGACTCTCCTTTAATGGATGTTAGGCTCGTTAACAAAGTAGCTCTTGTTGTCATTACTGGTGATAGAGGTCTTTGTGGTGGTTTTAACAATGCAGTGATCAATAGGGCTGAGTCCCGGATGGCAGAATTGAAAGGTTTTGGAGTGGATTACACTGTGATTAGTATAGGAGAAAAGGGTAACTCCTATTTTAGGCGAAGAGATAATGTTTCGGTTGATAGGTTTATTGAAGGAGGGGGATTTCCTACCGCAAAAGAGGCTCAGATAATAGCTGATTATGTTTATTCATTATTTGTTAGTGAAGAGGTTGATAAGGTTGAGCTTGTATATACCAAGTTTATGTCTTTTGTTAGGTCTGATCCTGTCATTCAAACTTTGCTTCCATTATCCATGAAAGGAGAGATCCAGGATATGAATGGTAATTGTGTTGATGCTGTGGAGGATGAGTTGTTTAGATTGACAACCAAAGAAGGGAAGCTGACAGTGGAGAGAGATAGAGTAAGTACAAAAAGGGAAGGAATTTCTCCTCTTATAGAGTTTGAACAAGATCCTATTCTAATTCTTGATGCCATGATGCCTCTTTATCTAAATAGTCAGATTTTGAGGGCGCTGCATGAATCATTGGCAAGTGAGCTTTCGTCAAGGATGAATGCAATGAAAACAGCAACGGATAATGCAGTCGAATTGAGGAAAAATCTTTTAACTACCTATAACCGGGAAAGACAAGCGAAGATCACTGGTGAGATTTTAGAGATTGTTGCTGGCGCTGATGCACTTAATGTGGATTGATTAATTTCTGGCTCTTCATTCTTGTAACTTGACTGTCCTTTTACTTATAGCTCTTAATCATTGAATCATTTGTGGTTGACCTCAAAATGTTAGTTTTGAGACGCAGGGTTTCACGATTATAATGTAGCTTGAGTTAGCCATTTTTGAACTGAGTGTGGAAGATTTTTACCCCTTTGCCTCATGTTATACACTCTGTGTTCAATAAAAAGGAATAAGTGTCTAGGAGTTTGAACTACCTTGCACATACCTTTTCTATGCTTTCTGGTTTAGGCCTTTGTTATTGTTGAACAACTAATTGCCTTAATAATCACACTTGTATTCATGCACAAACTGCAAAGTGTTTGATTTCAGGAAAAAGCTACGTGCAAGCATAATGAATCACCATGCTAATGTTCATGCCATCACACGAGATTGCTGGTTCAATATTTGATGGTTTTCTGTAAAAGACATCTGTTTTGAGTTCCATCCTAAAATAGTAGAGAGTTGTATCTTAATCAACTTCATATTTGAGCATCTATATCTTTTTATAGGTTTTTGAATTTGAGTGGTAAAAAATGGTTTACAGCAAATAAACCTTAGATGATCTTGACTGTGATATGGACCATGTATGGTAATGAGTTTTGTTAACATTTGGCTATCTGGTAATTATTATGCTTAATACAAAATTATAAATATTAACATCTAATGGGTATATTATCAGTGGAGGATGACTTGTGATGAAGGGGAGGAAAAGACATTGATGAAATTGATGAAATTGATTGATGGAGATTCTTATTTTTAAGCATTGAGAACTTGTGGGATGAAACAATATATATATATATATATACACACACACACACACACGCACACACACTATTCAATTGTCATTTTTTTTTATGATATCAATTTAGTATAAATGCTGCTATTGGATCTACAATGTCTGGTGTTGTTGCCTAAGGGACAAAAATTCTGTGGTGCCAAGGGCAACACTTGTGGTAGGTGTGTTGGCACTTGGACTTGCATCAACTTGCGATAAATTCATTTTCATCAGCATGTCTAAAGCCATATATTGAGACTTCTTTAAATTAATTAGTGATTGTTGCAATTGCGCACAAACAGTTGCAACTCTTTTTTAATATGTTAACTAATAGTAGTGATCAATGTTAATTTTTAGGTAGATTTGAACAACTCAAAACAATAAGATGGATATCACTTTTCTTAGTTGTTGTTATGGGAGGATACCCTATGAATGGAAGAGATATGACATTAAGTCTCTTTTTTGAAAGTGTTCAGTTGTAATTATAGGCTACAGTGGTTAGTTTTTTTTTATCTTTTAATATGGTAAAAATATTTAATTAAAATGTTATATATTTTTAAAATAATAAAAAAGATAATAAAACAAAATCAGAAGTTAAATTACATAAAAGTATTTTTTAATAATCCACTCTATTAGCACCTAGAGATTCAGCTGCCTTGTTCTGACGTATGAAACTCTTGACAAATACCTAGATTCAATTCATTGCAATAGTAATCTATTATCTCTTTTTCTCTAAATTTCCTCATATTAAAAAATATATAAATAAATAAAGACCCAACCTATTTCCTTCCAAAACTTGTTTTCATATGTGATATGACATTATGACCTTCCAAAACATGTTACTCAAGTTAATTTGTAGATGCAAGCTTCCAAAATATTTTGCACATATTCATAACTGGAATCACATCTCACTGACCCACTCTACAGTACCTGCAAATGGTGGAAATATAATTATAATCAACATTTTAATTTCCTCTAACATCTCAATCATTAATTCATATATAATTTTGCAATCCATCAATAATTTTTCATAGATATATTAATACAAAGATTGTGGAAACATTATATATATATAACTTTGGAAACATTTTCAATACAAATGAATTGTGTAAAATTAGTGTGATTAGTGTAATAGCCACCAAATAAATATGCAAGGAAACCCCATTTGCCATGAGAAGTAAATCAAATCAAATTCAAATGAATGATTGGTGGTGTTCACTTTCTTTACATGATGAGTTTCCAATGCATGAGAATTTTCATTCGAATTTGTTGGATTGGTATTGTAGAAGAAGGTTTGAGATATTGACATTGAATGTACATTTATTTGTATGAACTGATTCTTGGATTGGAACGTTGATATTGGTTATTTCAAACTAATAACATGCACACTGTTACGAGTCATCAATTCCTATATCTTATAATAGATTGACAGATTGACCTGATTGACAAGTCATTTATTATTATATTATTTTATTAACTAAATTTCAAATTTAAAAAAAATTACTCTCAAAATATCCTCGTGACTCTCAACATAGGTGAAAGGAAGCAAAAAGACAAGAAAAAGTGAAATTTAGTTGTGCGGACAAGCTGCCAAATATATATATATATATATATATATTGATAAACAACATGGTATCATTGAAATGAATAAGTCAAGTACATCTCATCATCTATGCCTTTATTATATAAGCTAATTAGTAAATGTAAATATATATATATATATAAAGACTAGAAAGACTTAAATCTAATCCAAGGAGGCAATATTTATGAAAAACGTGGACAATTAAATATACTAAATCTCTAAAGTCTAAATGTTAAAAAATATCATAGAGATATCAACATACCTATATAACGCGTAATAATTACCAAAATTAATTCCATAAAGTGATCTTTAAGTCATTTTGAAATCAGTTTTATTTAACTTGTCTACTATAATGGTCAGCCCCACTGAGATAAATGCTCATTTTTAGGCATATTTGAACAAGTTAAAGCAACAAGATAGATGTTTTTCTTGCAATAGTACTTGTGGAGATCCTATAAATGAAAGTATCATGAGACTATGACCTTCCAAATCACATTACTTAATTTCAAGTGTGGATTTAAGCTTTCAAAACAGTTTGCTTATATTCATATAAGAAATCAAATCTCACTTGCTTTATAATACTAACAAATTATGAAAATATAATTATGATTAATAGTTTAATTCCCTCCCACATCTTAGTCATTAATTTATATATAATTTTTTATTAGTAATCTAACAAAAAATTTTCATAAATATATTAATATGAAGGGCTTTGGGGACATTTTCTATACAAATGAATTCCACAAAATTAGTGTAATAGCAACCAAATAAATATGCTAGGAACCCCCATTTGCCATGAGAAGTGAATCAAATGAAATTGAAATGATCGGTTGGAGGTGCTCACTTTCTTTACATGAGAATTGGCCCAAAACAATTTAGGCACCGGGTTGGTCCTTGAAAAGATTGCTTGTGGCGCCCAACATAGATGAAAAGAGTCCAAAGAAAAGAGAAGTGGGCTTGAGTGGGCATACA